GTCAATTTTCGAGTTAAAGATTTTTTTGAAAATTCCAAAAAATTCATTTTTATTTTTTAAAGTTCGTAAAACAACGAATTGTTGTTTATATGCAGCGAAACTTCAGTATGCTATACATTTACGATCCAGATGAAAAATGGTCTATGATACTTTGAATTTGAGATATGGTGAGATGAGAGATGGAATCTGTGCTATATGATTCAATTAAACCAATCTTATCTTCCCCTATCTTACTAAACAACTTATATATGTTTTTTGCTTTTTGCGTCTTCTTACGTAGATTCTCTGCTGTGATGTCTGGGAGATGGGTTTAATATTTCCTTATATACCATATTTCTCGCTGTTTTAATAGTGACACGCTCATTAGCTAATATATAGTTAACTTTGTTTTCATGCATCTCAGCATACCAATACCAGGACTGAATTTCTTTTTGATTCCCTTTAATCGCATCTTTTTCAGCTTGTAACGCTCTTTGGAAAAATTGGGCAATAGTCAGTGCTGAAGGGTTTGTAGTTTCAGTATTAGAACGCTCTTCATTACTACTAGTTTCAGCGATCTCAACACCTTCAGTAGGTACAGATAATTCTAATATTAAATCCTGTATTATTTTTTGCCCACGTGTAATTATAGGTTGCTTTGGTGTTTCTTCAAGAATTTTCCCATCTGATGATTCCTCCTCTGATGAGACCTCTTCTGATGATCCTTCATTGTTGGTTTCATCATCCTCCTCTGACGATTCTTGTAATTTTTCTGATGGATTTCCTAATGAGCTTATTTGTAGATTCTCCCCTAATATATCAGCCACGAAAGAAGTCTGACTTGGTTCGGCTACCATTTCACATATTGGACAATCAGTAGATGTTCTATTTACGATGCAATCATGGTGGAAAATATGTTTACACACTAATATTGTAATCGGTACACTAAGTTGTGGAGAAATTTCAATTTCGCATACAGGACAAATGTTAGGTTCTTCGGGATTAAGAGATAATATATTTTCGAGCCTTTGGCTCATATCAGATGGAATAGAAGAAGGTGTTGTTTCATAAAAAATTATTTCATAAGTGAATCTTCTTAAGGTATCCATTTTTAGCGAATGATTTTTTTTTTCAAAATATAAAATTTATAGTACTCTGATATTAACCTATAACTTGTTTTTATAGATTAAACCTTTGGCACAGTTATACATATTCAGGTGAATGGAATTCATATCCTGCTATTGTGGACAATTTAATGGTGAGTTTCTGAATTAATAATCATCACTCATTTTTAATTAATTAATGCATACTTTATCACGAAATTGAAAATAATTTAATGATATGGGTCAGAGACCCTATGCTCCGCATATAGAACCTGAATTAATCAGACTTTTTATCATACCCGATTTCAGACTCCGAGATGTAACAAACGTGATTACCATGAACCATGGTTCACGATCAACTTTGAGTATCACTTTTGGAAATGTTAGTGAAGATTAATTATATATTTGAAGCTTTGTTTCCTCAACTAGAATTACACAAAAAATGAATCAGTTTTAGATATGTATATACTTGATAAAATTAATAGGTCTAAAACCCTAAATACACTATAACTCGTTAAATCATATACACCTATAACACACTATCTTATAACACATAAATAGGTCATATAAATGGATAATTTTAGCAGATTAATAGCTCATTCTGGTTCTAAATGCAGTGATGATGAATGGAATGAATATTGTCGGATGCCACAAGTTCGTACTGATGAAACTCCTGGAGATTGGAAATCACGAATTTGGCCTTGCTTGCAGTATTTCAGGGATAACAACCTTTTACCTACCAGAGGAAGCAAAAAATATCTTGAAGCTAGGAAGCTAGAAGAATGGTGGTCAGAACTAAATATGAGGTGGTGTAGTTACGTGCCTGAAATTGGAATGGCGATTTGCTTCTCCTGCGAACAATTAGTATATACTGGAAAAATGACTAAAAATATGGGTAATAATTATAATCATATTGGAATGGAAAGGCACTGGGCCTCTCATTGTACTGGAAATAAATACTGTGGTGTGAGTTATGAAGAATACCAAAAAATCATACAAAAACCCAAATCCACACGTAAATATGATGACAACTATGCATTACGTCGCTATGAATTATGGACGACAAATGCAATTAGAAGGATCAAACGTGCAAGAGAAGTTGGGAAAAAGATTAAAGCATGTATTAAAATACAAAGGAAGGTTGTGGAGTGGATTTATCGCCCAGATGGATTGACGGCGACTGAACTCGCTTTGCATTATGCGTGCTTACAGAATATTCGAGCAGAAATGCGCCAAATTAGCAATTTATAATTATATAACATATTTATTATTTGATTTATTAATTTATAGCGGAGCTAGTGTCTCTGACACATATTAATTAATTATTTATTTAATGTTTCGATACCCCCTTGAGGGCTGGTATCTTTTTTTTGTACTTCGCGGATCACAAAAGTCAGATTTTCAGGTGTGTGTATCCAGATTCCGACACGTAGTAATCATGATCATCATCACCAATGATTTGACCTCCTTCCAAAATGTAACAATCACGATCATCGTCCACAAGTGTTGACGATCGACTTCAGGGTACACTTTTGGAAATGTTGTGACTCGATATTTTATCTCAGCAATTGCTCAAATATAATCGGGAAAATTCATGCTAGATATCACTAGGGATTATGAAGAACGGGTCAAAGAAAATAAGGTCACGCAAAATAAAATCTCGAAGAAGAAGGCGCAATTACAGGTGGCAGAAGATAAGTTATTCAAGCTTAGCGGAGCTAGTTCCACTAAAAATTCCTATCATTGATTGCTTACATTGAAGTGATTTAATCTTAGAAATCTTTTTTTATTGCGCTGTTAATGATTTGATTTCTTTTTCCAAGTCTAGAGGGTTCATCCAACCGAGTCTAAGAGCCATAGGGTTGGAGATTGGTATAGTGGTATCAAAGACAATGAATTCACCATTCCGCAAATATTTATTGATGATTTTAGAAGCTTTACGTGGATCTTCCTCTATGTATTGTCTTATAATTCGTGCAATATCTTCTGTTGACCCTCCACCATTGAATAATGCGAGGTGAGTAATTCCTTCACGAATGATTTTTGGTACTTGTGTAAATTTATGTGTAATATAGATGGCAGAGATATTACTGTGCCGACCTCTGTTAAAAAATGGAATAATACGATCCTGAATTGATTGGGGTTCAGCACACATGTCCTCGAAAATAATGACTGTACGTCTTTTTGGATTTTTAAACTGCTTTTGATCTGGAATTTTATCAGGTCTAACTGCAAGAA